TGCGTTTCGAGCCGTACAACGTAACGCATCTCTACTTTCGCCAAGCGTTTCGTGATCTTGGCGTGAGAGCGTCGGCCAAAGCGTTGCGAGGACTGGCCACGGCAAGGCTCGATTGTTCCGCCTATCGACCGGTCCGTTGCATGCAGTCGCGACTCGAGCAACACATTCGTTACTGGTTGAACCCGTACGAGATGCCTGATCGTGTGTCGATCGTCGACGCATCGAGGCAAGCGCGCACGTTGACCGACAGACGCGTTATCATGGAAACGGTGTCGGGTCTCGTTGCTCGCGTATTCAACGAGATGGAGTTGCAAGCGTTGGAAATCGAGCGCGAGCCGTACTATCGTCTGATGGATCGATTGTTGCTGTCCGAAGGCCAAGCGTTTCAAGGCTTGCTCCCGATACAGATTCACTTTCGCCAGGCGCCGTATCCGCAGTCCTCGTTCACCGAATTCGTTAGCGATCGCGCAAAGCTTTGGACTGTCTACGACTCGAGCATCTATCCGAGTTACGCTGGTTTGCCGGAAGATCTGTTGTATCGTTTGCGACACAACCTTCGTCATTCGTTGGGTCTTGGTCACCTAAACGATCGCGAGAGCGTCATGTTTCCGACGAATGTGCGCGGCTTGACCAGACCTTCGGACCACGACACCGACGCGGTTCACGCGCTTCTCTGTTCTACCTACAGCGACATGTTTCCACCGGGTACGGCATCGCGAGCGGTTCGCGAACGTTGGTATCGCGCGAGCTCGATCGATCCGTTGCTGGATCTGTTATTCGTTACACCTAAATCGACCGACACCGAAGCTGTAGTCGTGTACTACAACTAGAAGCGCGCGCAACAAAAGGAAACAGAGAAAGCCAGGAGGGAGGCAAAATGGTTTACACAGCAAGAGTTTTCTTTAGTTTGTTCTTTATTAAATGTGTTTATATTTTTTGCAAATAATACATCTCAAGCGTTCTTAACGGTTTTAAAAATACAGCAAAGCGAGTAACGCAAAAGGAGAAAAATAGATTAAAAGTCAGCGTTCTCGCTGTAATTGGCCGCAAGCACGTCGACGGCTTTCTTGTACTCGCTCACGTCGCTCTCGAAAAAATTAGTCTTGCCCTCGAGGCTTTGCTGCACCATAAACGGAAACGGGTTGTAAGCGTTCGGAAACACGATCTCCTCGTGCAGTTCGTGCAAATAATGATTGCACACGTGCCGCACGTACGTTTTCATAACTCGTCCGTTCATGCCCAACAGTTCGATCCGACCAGCGTCGCCGTCGCCGCCGCCAAACATCGCGTCGACGAACTCGTCGCTTACAGCCATCGCCTCGAGCGTGAGTTGTACCAGTCGTTCGCGAGGAACGCGATAACGAACTCGTTCGCCGTACAACAAACAGGCAAACAAAGCGTGCAGGTTTTCGTCGCGAGAAATAAACTCGTTGCTCTTGCCGAGACCCGGGCAAAGATTGCGCGATCGAAGCCAATAGATGTAGGCAAAGCACGAGGTGAAGAAGACGCCCTCGACGAACACAAAGGCCAGCAAACGAACGGAGAACGGTTCCCGCGGATCCAGTATCCAACGCTTGATCCATTCGGCCATCGATCGCAAAGCCGGCTCGTCGTCGTTTCGTAGAATAGACGCTCGCTTTTGCTCCGACTCGATCATCGTGTTGATGAGACGCGCGTACGTCAATTTGTGTTCTTCCTCGTTGGCGATTTGAAACGAGTAGAACGTGGTGGCGGTCGGGTGTCGAACTTCTCGTCCGAAACGCGACAACAAATTCTCCACTACGAGGTTGTCGCCGATGGCAAAGAAACGCAATATCGTGTCGAGTACGTGTTGTTCGTCCATGTCCAGTCGCGAAGCATAGTGA